CCCAGGATGTCAGATCTGGTTGGCCAGGAGGGTTCCCCCGATTGGCAACCAAGGGTGTCGGCCTCAGGGCACGGCCCAGGGGGGGAGGCGGAGGGGTTCAGCCCCTCGACGTCACAGCCTCTCCCCCACAAGGACTCCGAGTTCGTTGCGCAGCAGAGCATCGGGGACCAGGTGTTCGGCGAGTTTGGGTCCCCTGCATGCCAGGAAGCCTGCAGCCTCCGAGACCCTGCCTCGGGCGGTGATGCGGCCTGTACTGCGCGCCCCGCACGGAGCTCGAGCCCCCCGCTCGCTCCGCCCCCTCAGCCGCGGGAAGGTGCCGCCCTCCCGCGGGTCCCCGGCGCGACTGCGTCGGCCTGTGCAGCGCACTTGGAGCGGTTGCTCGCTGGCAAGCCCAAGCCGATGGCGAAAGCAGGGTGCTGCCTGGCCACTGTGAATGCCTCGTCGTGGGGGCCGCTGGGCGAGTACCTCCTGAGGGCTGACGGCAACCCGACGCTGGCCATTGCGGTTCAGGAGCACCACCGTCTGGCCAAGGACCTGGCGACGCAGCAGCGGGCGTCTAAGGACGCGGGCTGGCATGGAGCATGGAGCGCGGCCAATCCGTCTTCGACGTCGACCTCGGGTTCCGTCGGTGGCGTAGCGGTGCTGGCTCCCACCGTAGTCTCCGTCACGGCGCCCCTTGGGCGCGACCCCCCCGTGCTGGTGCCAGGGCGCCCGGTGGCAGGGCACGTGCGTGCTGGCCCTGCTGGGGGCGTGGTGGTCCTCAGCATCTACCTGCGCGACGGCGAAGGGCTTTCGGGCAGCAACCTGGACATCATCTGGCAGCTGGTGCAGTACCTGGGGCGGCTCGGGGCCGAGGGCCACCACTGGGCGGTCATGGGGGACTGGAACATGGAGGCGGACGTGCTCGATTTTGGTTGGATCGGCAAGCTGAGGGCCCAGGTTCGGCAGGCGAGCGGCCAGTCGTGCAGGCAGGGCGGCGGGTCCAACATCGACTACTTCGTGGTGTCCAAAAGCCTCATCCCCTTCACAGGAGAGGCCCCCATCCTGGACGTCGGCGCCCACACGTGGCCGCACTGGCCCGTCCGCTCGACGCTGGGCCAGGTGCACGCGCAGGCCGTGCAGCAGGTTATCGACGAGCCCAAGCCGCTCCCCAGGGAGGCGGCCAAGCCTGGCTGCGCCCGCCCGCCCTGGCGCTGGGGCGCGTTTGCGAGGTGCGTGAACGCAGTCACGGACCAGCAGGGCCTCCGAATCATCTGGGACATGCTGCTGGAGGGTATCGAGACGGAGATCCTCAACAGGCGTGATCTGGTCGGCGACGCTCGGCGCACCTTCGCGGACCGCGGCGCGAAGGGGGGCGTGGCACCCTCCTCACAAGCGGAAGCGGCGAGGGCCCGAGGCCCACGCTTGGGCGGCGTTGGCAGGTTGGGCGTCGGAGCTCCTGAAGAAGCAGGCCTACTTGGCGAAGATGTTCGGCGCCCTGAAGGATCACCCTGTCGAGGAGGCGACCAAGCCCGCGGCGGCACGTACCAAGTGCATGGGCGCGATTGCAAAGGCCCTGGTGCACCTTCGGCACTTCCTAGAGTCCCTGCACGGCCAGGGGCATTGGCATCACCTCCCGAGTTGGACGCGCGAGCCCTCGTTGCGGACTTCGGCAGCGAGGGTTGGGCGCAGACCCCAGGCGGGTGTTGCAGGCGGCGGAGCAACGGCAGCGCAAGCAGGCCAAGGAAGACGAGGCCCGCTGGAAGGAGTGGGTAGACGGGGCTTTCCTGGGAGGAGCAGGCGCCGCCCACGCCGCCTCCAAGGCCCCCGTGCTTCAGGGAGTGCTCCCAGCTCACCCGTCGGAGGAGGCGCAGGCGCTAGTGGCCAGGGAGGTGCAGCCATGGGTGGACATCTGGCACTATCACGGCCTTACCCGCATGGAGTTGCCCCCCCCAGTGCTCCCACGTGGGACGCCCTGCCGCCGCTGCAGGTGCATGCAGTGCGGGACGTGGTCCGCTCCTTCTCGTGGCGAACGGGCGTGGGCCAATCAGGCATGCCGCCGAGGGCGCTGGAGGACCTGTCCGACGACGCGCTCCTGGCTATGATCGCGGTCTTCCACAAGTGCGAGGGGCTGCTGGCATGGCCGAGTAGCCGCCTCATCAACACCATGGTGCGGCCCCCCAAGCCCGACGGCGGCTGTAGGCTCATCGGGCTCATGCCGACGCTAGTGCGCGTGTGGAGTCGGGCCCGCAGGCTTGTGACGAAGGCGCGGGAGCTGGACAACCCTTCGGAGCTGGTCTGGGGCACGGGACCAGGCAGAGCCAGCTCGGACTCGGCGTACGAGCTCAACTTGGCCGAGGAGCAGGCGAAGCTCGGCGGCTGGGACTCTGCCCAGGCCGCCCTGGGCCTCTGGAAGGCCTACGAGGTGGTGGCGCCCGAGGCCCAACTGGCGGAGGCGCGGGCGCTGGGTTTCCCCATGCGGCTCATCTGGATGCTCCTCAGTACCTACCGCCAGCCGCGCGTCCTGGCCGCCTTCGGCACGACGTCGGACCCGTTCGTGGCTCGGCAGGGGAACATCGCGGGGTGTGGGCACGCCAACTCGCTGCTGATGGTGCTCACCCTGCGGGCCCTGCGCAAGGCACATGCCCTGGCGCCATCGGTCACCCCGCGGGGCCTGGTGGACGACGCCACCCTGGACTGGAGCGGGTCCAAGGAGGCGGACGACGACAGCCTGGTGACAGCGCCGAGCAGCTTCTCGGCCGACATGGTGGAGCTCAAGTTGGTCATGCAGCCGCAGAAGTCGGGCTCCCTGGCGTCCTCCAGGCGGAGGGCGAAGCTGCTGGCCCCCCACATGCTGCGGAGAGGGCTCACCGAGAAGTTTTGGGTGCGCAACCTGGGCCACGAGCTGCACGGGCGGAAGGTCATCCGCACTCAGGAGAAACGCCGCCTGCAGGCCCTGGCGGAAAGGCGGGGGCGCATGGCCATGCTCAGGCGGGCTGCTGGGAGGCGCGCTGCCGCCCTGGTGGCCACAGGGCTCTCGCCGTCGGCGGGACACGGCGCAGGGGTCTCGGGGCTAGCGGACAAGCCTCTGGCCCAGCTGCGTACGCTGGCGGCGGCCACTGCTGGGGCCAAGGCGGGCTGCGGCACGGCGGCCGTCACGGTGCTGCAGAGGCGGGTGGACTTCGACCCGATCTGCGCCGCCACGGCCCCGCTGGTTCGCAGGCTGGCCAGTCGCATCTGGGAGGGCCGCTGCTCTTTGGCTGGGCTGGAGGCTACCTGGCAGGTGCTTGCTGCGGAAGTGCGAGCGGGCTCCCTGTCGTGGGCTTCGGTGCAGGGGCCGCTTGGGGCTACCTGGCTTTCGCTCGCGCGCATCGGCTGGGACATGGCGGCCGTCTGGGCCCTGCAGACCGACCAGGGGGAGGTCATCTCCTTGCTGCGGGTGGCCCCCCAGGGACGTCAAGGACGCGCTCGTGGAGGGCATCCAGCGCTGGCAGCGCAGGAGGCTGGTCGCCCACTTGCCCGGGAGCGGCGGCGAGGTGCTCTGGCTGCGGGCCGCGCGGGCTATTGCCAGGCGGTCTCGGCCCGCTGCTGAGCTGGGGGCCATCCGGGCCCTGTGGGCAGGCGGCCACTTCACCATGGCCTGGCGCTATGCCCACGGCTTCGCTACGCCCACGGCTTCGCCACCACGGAGCTGTGCCAGGCGTGCGGCCAGGACAAGGACACCCTGATGCACGGGTGGTGCGCCTGCCCTGAGGTCATGCAGCCACGGGACGAGGAGCTGGAGCTGGAGGAGCCCTTTCGCAAGCCGATCGTGACCATGCACGAGCAGATGGCGGAGGCCGAGCAGAAGTGAACCACCGGGGACAGCGAGCTGCCGTTGGCCTATGGCCTGCCGCTGCTGCCTGCCCTGCCGCCTCCTGCGCCTGCTGCGAGCGTCATCTTCGAGTGGGGAGCCACGCAGGTGGCCTGGCCTGCGGCCGTCTACACTGATGGGTCAGGCCGCGCCTCGCAGGTGCCTGAGGCGCGCAGGTGCGGCTGGGCGGCCGTGGCCCTCAGGCCCGACGGGATGCCGCTCAAAGCCCCCTATGGGCCGCTGCCTGGGCCGCGCCAGACGGTGGGCAGGGCCGAGCGGCAGGCCTGCTTGGCACCCCTGTCTCAGGCGGGAGAGGTCCAGCTGATCGTCAGCGACCTGCAGTCGCTCGTCACAGAGGGCAACCTTTGGAGCCCCACGGCGCAGGCGGCTAGCGCGAGGCACGCCAGCATGTGGCGGCAGCTCCACGCAGCTGCGGAGGCGCGAGGCAGCCCGCCCCCGCGCTTCAGGCGGGCGCCTGCTCACCGCACCCTGGAGCAGGCGCTGGAGGAGGGCATCAGGCCCATGGACTGGCTTGGGAACTGCTGGGCGGACTTCTTCGCCAACCTGGGGGCCGCCGAAACGAGGCTGCCCAACAACGCGGTGGAGGCGCTCAAGGCGGAGTTGCAGCGGGCGCTGGACACCGCCACGCACTTGGGCTGGGCGGCGGCGCGCGTTTGCCAGCTGGATCCCTGGCGGTCGCTCGGGGACGACGGGAAGCTCCAGCGCCGGGCAGAGCTCAAGTGCCCCGCCCCTCCCAAGCTCAGCCTCACGCGGCACGAGTACCAGGCGATCAGCGCCAGAGGGGTCCAGTGCCTCCACTGCGGACGGGAGGCGCGCACCGAGAAGGCACGCTCACTGCTGGACTGCCGCCCGTGCCAGCCGTCGGCGCTGGGGCGGCCGCGCGCGGCTCGCAGCCGCGAGGTTGGCGGAGCGCAGCTGCTCGCCAGCTCGGCCATGGTGGACGCGGGGCCCCAGGCAGCGGCTTTGTTAATTCGAAGCAGAGCAGGTTGGCCACAGCAGCGCGGCGCCTGAGGTTGGCCAGGCCTTCGGTCCCACGGAGGGCGGCGCGACGGGCAGCGAGTTCGAGCGCAAGGTGCAGCACCTCCTGGCGGCGGCGAAGGGCGACTCGGCAGGCGCTGCAGGCCTGGGCCCGACGGCGGGCAGCCAT